GTGCCAGTTGGCATGGTAAATTCGCCCTTGAGGACATCAGTTAGTGTGATCGGTTCAGCCGATCATGATTCCCCGCTCTGTGAGAACGCTAGCTCCCCAAAGACAAACTCTCCTTCAACGTCCTTCATTTAAACAGCACAGGCTTTTGAAGAGCTCCAGACATGGTATCAAGAAAGCCTAACTTCATCACTGTGACGCTGTAATTCCACCCACATCTGGATACAAACCTGAAACCATAGACTCCTCTCTTTTCTCCTTTCTTTGGTAAAGGAGAGTGTCTACAGTGGCTATTAGAAGAGACAAAGTATAAAATTTAAGAAACTAACCCCAAGTGCCCCTTCTACATTATCATTCTCTCTGCTTTCCTATTTAAATATTTTTAATATAGCTACAAGAGGCACAGCTCTCAGGATCTCTCTGGTCTGCTGGGCACATCCCTGCTCCTAGAAGGTCCCCCATGAGTTAACTCTAGTTCTGTCCATAGTATCTTCAAAGTAGTATTAGTTCCAACCAATAATACTTCAGCAGACCAGGATGATGGAATCCAGCTGCCCAGTTCAAGATTTGCTAACTAGAAACCTGCATTTGAATAAAATGATAATCTCTCACAATGTAGCCTTAATTACTAGTGAATTTAACAGTAGTAGCTGAAGATCTCCTTGTACACCATTAATTTTCAGCTTCTGATCCCCTTCAATGGTACCTTACAAATAGAGAATAAAAGCAAATGTATCTGGCTACCATGTTACAGGAAGATGAGTATGAATATAGGTAACTCTACTGCTTTTTTAGGGGAGGATATGTACTGCAGTTCATGCTCTGTGTAGATTCATGTCATGATAAAATGGTACACACTCCTATCAAAATGGGGGGGCGGGTAGTGAACTCAGTGGGGCCCAGTCTTTTAGTTGGCATTGTAGTATTAAGAAATGATATTATTATAAGTCAAGAAGTCTTTTTTCAGAAAAATTTTTTTTGTACAAATGAAGATCTAGTGGCATCATGAAGCCTACTATTTAACAATTTCTCATGGGAATTCCTTCCCATTTCTACACACATTATATCATAAAATTATTCACTATGTACCTGTGGCTTATAATAAAATGCAATTGAAACATTCTATATTATATTTATATTTGTGACATTTTAGGTTTCTATTGTTTTAATAATTTCTGAGAAATATAGCAGACATGGCCTCATAACTGTGATCCATCTGTGACTTTTTTTTGGTACCGGGGAGGGAACTCAGGACCTTGCCCTTAAGAAGCAGGCAGTGGCACCACTGAGCTACCTCTGCGGCCGCATGTGTGAGTGACTGACTCGATATGTAACCATGTCACAGAAACTATGACAGGCATTAGGAGCCCTAAGATGAAAACCCTTGGTCCTCCTCATAGAACAGAGGAGAGACAAGTCACCCAAAGATTACACTGTTTTAGTAACAGTGTGTTGGAAGTATCCAAGAACACCTATGAGGAGCACCAGGAAGTGCATCCAACAGGAAGGACTAGACAGCAGAGGGCACCAAGGGAAGGAGATGTTTCAGTGGAGTCCTGAACTGTGAGAGAGAGCAGTTGTAAAAGTGGCAAGGATGCCTCGGCAAGAGGAGCTGCCACAGGTAAAGCATTCTGATGTAGGGGACAGGCTACTGCTCTAGGAACGAAAATTACTCTGGGTCACAGGGAGAGGAGGACAAAGAAGGCAGTGATCAAAAAGTCTGTGAAGCTAAGGGAAATAGGATTTCCACTTTTAGAAAGACCATTCTTCTTGGTTTACTGGACAACATAGATGTTGAAAAGGACAGCAATGAGGGATGGGCAAGGAAATGAATTATGAGACTATTTTAACCATGCTACTGAGGGAACTCATGGGGCCTCTGAACTAAGTGTGTTTTACTGGCAAAGAGAACAGATGATGTGAGAGTTAAAGATCTGGGAGGTAAACAGAAGGCAGATTTTTCTTTTAAATGTAAAAGCTAGTCTGCTGGATGTGCAAAGGTGGGGTGACAAAGTGCCTCCAGGGGTCAGGGCCATGGTGAATGAGTGCATGGTAGATCTGTTCACCAAACTGAGTGGCACAGGCTTATGTGGATGAAAAAGAAGAAAGACAGCAGCAACAGAGCTAATGACCCCAGTGCTTAGCAAAAAATTTGAGGTTGCTACAAGACAGTAAAGAATCATACCAACTATGATATTCAGGTATGAGTCTTGAATTTTTAGAAAAAATCCCAGCTAAAGTCACAGATCTGAGATGCAAGTTCCAGAGACAGGGCAGATGTATGAGGAACCCCAGTGTTTAAGTGGAGGAGTTGTTTAGAAGGCCACAGCACAGAAATGTCAAGGGTTCCCAGGTAACACGCTGTGCCAGAGAAGCCTGATCCCTGAGATGAGTTCAATAGATAGCCTTTACTGGGCGTATCCACACATACAAACTTTATTTTGGATAAAATAGTAAAAATATTTTAAACCAGTTCCCTTTTCCTCTGGTAAGAATGAATTAAAACAGGCAAATGAAAAAGAATAAATGATTTTAGTAAAACAGAAAAAAAAGGAGGAAGAGAAAAAAGGGGCAGTGGGGAAAAAGTAAGAAATAGAGGAAAGTAACTAAGCAGGAGGAAAAGAGGGCACAAGAGAAAGGAATGAAATGTCTTTCTTCATCAGATGGAATAGTGAAGCTCAGAACCATGGGCAAGGGGGAGAAAAGCTTGGAGTGCCCAGGAGTAGAAGAACAGGCCTTAAAAGCAAGGTTGACTTAACCTTGAAACTCTACTTGGAAATCCAGTGGAAGAAGTTAGTTTCCAAGACAAGGACTTCTAATGAAAAGAAAACAATATAATTGCAGAGGATGAAGAAGATTAAGGTGAGACAAGTCAAGGTTTAGTGAGCAAGTGTTATATGGTAACTAGGTGTTTGCTTTCTATTGAAAATGAGCTATTTGTATTGATTTTCTTAAGATTATAGTGTTGAATAATAATTTTTCATATATAGTCATAAAATAATTTTAAATTTTAAATATATATATATTTCTTGAAGAAATGCTATTATTCTCATTTCACATTGGTCTTTCTTATGGTCTCTGGTTGCTTTGATGGAGACACCACTGCCCCTTGGTGGGAAGCACCTGCTTTTCTTGAGTTGAGGCTGCTACTTGAACATCTGCACTGCTAAGTATAATAATCTCACATGTTATATGTGCCAGAAGAACAAAAAGAAAAACACCTATATGTATTTTGAGGGGTACTGGGGATGGAATCCAGGGCCCTCATAGGCACTACAATCCCCAGCTCTTTCTTAACTTTTATTTTGTCAGGGACTTCCTAAATTATCCAGGCTGCACTTAAACTTGCAATCCTCCTGCCTCAGGTTCCCATACTGCTGGGATTACAGGCATGCACCACATACTTGGCTAATGTCTATTTATCTTTATAGGTGCCAAAGGTCCAAATGAAATCTAAACAATATGGTTACTGAGCAAATACAAATTCTTTCTTAACACAAGCGTTAGAGTTGTTCGAAAAACAATTCCATGTCTGAGACGGTTATTAGACATAAAGGCAGTACATATAAGACCGTAAGTGGTTTGTTTATAGATTTAAAAACTTCTAGCCTTGTCATAGCTTCTTAGCAGGCTACCTACAAATGAACCAAGCATATTTCTGACAAACCAGTGGTTTGTGGCTTAACTGTGACATTCCCAGGGGAAATCTGGTGAGCCATGGACAACTATTACCACATACTTTTTTAAATATAAACTCACCAGTTACATATTCTGCCTAAAAGAAGGACAAGGCAAAGACAATGGAAAGCATCAGGAACAAGCCAGAAATTTCACTGGCTGCAAAACATAAATAAAGCAAGAAATATAATTAAACAGCAGCTCTGGAAAACATTCTGGGCAATGTTGCAGAGAGAGAAGGGAAAAGGGGATCTCTCACCTCAGACTAAGATTTAGACGCAGATGCCAAAATCTGAAACACTTAGTGAGCACTGTCTGGTGCTATTCCTTAACATCTGCCACTGCTGAAGGAGGTGACAGGAGCTGGGGCACCCATGTCACTGGTTATTCTAGGAATTTCTGGAGATTGATTCCATGAACATGTGGCAAAGCATGTCCCTGCTTTAAAGGCACCAAAAAAAAAAAAAAAAAAAAAGCCAGCCATTCAATATCAATAGGTAACCATGCATCCTGGGCCACATCTTTGAGGGTCCCTCACTGTGACAGAGAATGACCCAAGGCTAATCTCTGAAATGGCCTTAGGCATATGGGCAAGATATGCAGAAGACTCAGAAAGGACACCCGAAGTTCCCTCCTTTGTCCATCCCTGTTTCCAACCCAAACAACTTAATCAGCCATTGTAGTACTAGCTTCACTGTAAAATGAATGGAAATTCTAATTTACCTAGTCATTACTGCCTTACCTCAAATCAGTTTATCAAAACATCTCACATCAGGGAGAGTCCAAGAGGGAAACCAAGTACTTAGAAACAGCTGATCGGATTAGATGTGGACAACAGAAAGGCAAAATTGAGCACAGGACTTCAAAATGCAAACAACAGGAAGGGCCACTCTCTAATGGGCCAGCTGGGCCAGGCTCCTGCTACCGGAGAAATCAATGCTTTCCAAGAGACTTCAGTAGAGATCAGGCTAACTACATACCTCCCCAAACTGAACCAAAACAGGACACATTCTGTGCATACATCGTGTGACCCTAGAATCACTCCTATAATGGTGTTTTGCTAATCTGAGTACATACAGATCAAGTGGTCAGTGAAGAATCATTCATCTCAAATAACGGTAATAATTTTTGAAAGAAAGGTCAAATGAATGTACAATAAACATAAGGAAAAGATCCCTGTTAGCATGAGAGAGACCAAGGAACTGTGGAGTTTCCTGGACTTTTTCTCCCTTCCCAACACAGTGAGGTCCCCAGACCATGCACATGCTCTGCAATCTGCTCCGCAAGGTCTTGTGTCACCCCAGGTAGGCAAGGAGCAGACTCACTCATTGAGTAAAGGCATGGACGTTCTCCTCTTGCTCTTCTGTACCATGTTGGCTTGATTCCTCAAGGAGATCCGAATCATAGCTGGGGCCAACCTACATGGCTCCCCGTCCACTTGCATGGGGATGGACTTGTAAGTCAAAAGCATGACTTCCCGACACTGGTGTAGCCTTTCTCCGTGGCCCCCAACTTGCAGAGCAGCCTGTTGAAACAAGATGAAAGGGAGCCATGAGCTAGGTATTGCTACTTAAGAATACTAGAACCCCAAGTCCGTGGTACATAGCCAAAAGGCCTTTGATACATACAGTCAAATTCATTGGGCATTAGTATAAAGAGAAACCTGGGTAAACTATTACTACAAATAAACTAAACATTCAACACTTTTGATGAGCTTTATCATGAATTCCCATAGACAGATATTTTTCATTTTATGCATTTTAAATCTAAATTTAATTCTGCTAATTTAACATGAAAATTTCCTTTTGTGTTATCTATTCCCACTAAATAATCACAGTACCACAAAAGACTAAAAGAGGATAATGCACATGGTTCCCCAATTTCTAAACTCTACTTACCTAATTTTTAGTAAGCAGTTCATCCTTGAATTTTCACCCTCAAGCACACTTACCCTTCTCACCTAAAATGTCTTCAAGCTATTTCTAACCTGTACAAACTAAATAAAATAAAAACTAATACCAACTACTCAGTTAAAATCATTCTGGGAAGTAAAATCACTTAAAGAATTAAAATCAAACACTGTGAAGGTTCAGCTCACTGTGGGAGTCACAGAATGGAGATTCAAGTCAATGTTAAAAGTCTGTTTCTAAGAACAACAAATTTATACCTTCTCCAACTTTGCAAAATAGTTCACAAAACATCATTTACATTTTTATGGATAAATGAAAGCCATACATTTTACATATATACAGGACACACTGTATTACTCAGTTTAAAGAATATTTTTATACATATGTGTGAACCTTTATACCGATCAAGCTTTAAAAAATATATAACAACCAAGAGGTTTGCACTGTCCCTCTGGAACTTATTATAGTCCTATTACCAACTGAAGGTTAACCGTTATTGACTTCTGTCACCATAGATTAATTTTACCTCCACTTGAATGTCATATAAAAGAAATCATATATGCAGAAGTACTCTTGCATCTGACATCTTTTGCTCATCATTACAGCAAATTATATTTATGCAGTCTTCACCAGTAGGTGGGTATTTTATTATTTCTGGTTTGGGGCTATTCACATAAACTTTCTTGTACACATGTGGATACATGTTTTCTTAGGTACAGACAAATGAGTAGTACTTCTATAACAGTTTATGAGTATATTTAACTATAGAAGACACTGGAATATCATTGTTCAATCTATTCATAATGAAGTAAATTTTTAAATGTAGCTAAACACTAACTAGCACAAAATTTAAACTGTTTACTCTTATGAAAGGAAAACATTATCAGCTTGTTGTCAGGTTTATTCTTTATGAATGGAGGGGAAAAATAAACCTTGTTAATTCAGATTTGTGAAGTCAATTTCCATTTATTTGGCAGCCAGATCTTTGGCTTTATCTGATGTTTTGAACTACTTTGCATTCATTTGCAAAATGGTAAATTGATTATAAATACAAAGAGAAAAGAAAAACAAAGGGACAAAAAGAAAATAAGGAAAACATAATAATTGAAACATGAAGAGTGTATTAAGCCCTTTTGATGTTATACTGTGTTGAATGATTTTGCACACTTTTATTTTTCAGTTAGTAGGAAACCCAAAAAGGAGAGAAAATGCAATGAACAGTTCCTAAAATTCTTTTTGATCCTGCATCTTATTCTCTACTATTCAGTTAAAAGCACTAAATTATTCATTTTGGTTACTCTGGATTTAAACCACTATCATCTCTAAAACTTTTCCAACATAACTCCCTTGCCCTCAATTACCTTCAAGCTCAGTATTTACAAGGGAAAAAACTGTATGCTTCATCCATTAGAGGAAACACCATTCTATTCATTTCTCCCTGTCTGGAGTAGGCCTAATGACAGATAAAATGTAAAACCTGACAGTTAAGAACTTACTACTTTTGAGTTTAACAGGACTGGCCATTGCTTAAATGTTTTCCAATTCCTTAATATCAGGAGGTTTGCACAGTACTCTAGAGTATGTATAAGCCCTCTTCTCACCTCAAAAGAAAAACAATAGCATATACAGGTTGAGTATCTCTTATACAAAATGCTTGGGCCTAGCAATGTTTGAGATATGAAAAAAAAAAATCAAACTTTAGAACATTTGGACCTATGTAATGAGATATCTTGGAAATGGGATTTAACCGTATAATGAAATTCATTTATACACCTTGTAAACATAGCTTGCAGGTTATTTTAGATGACATTTTTAATGTACCTGTGTTTTGATTGTGACCTATTACATGAGGTCAAATGTAGAAATTTGGTGCTCAAAATGTTTTGGATTTGGAAGTTTGCATTTCAAACTTCAGACTTTCAAATTAGGGATGTTCATGTGTTTTACAAACAGATGGAGCTAAACAGCCATCAGTAGCAGACCCCTGGTATTGGATAATCAATCCAAGATCATTGTGCAAGCGCAAGAGGAACTGCAATTAGCCTTTCAGAGTAAAGACATGTGTAAGATAGTCAGAACAGCTACAAAAAATCACTTTGCGGACAGGTTTAGAGTATAAGCAATTCTTAAATACTTACTAGCAATATTTATTTTTCAACCCTTAATTGATCTAGGCTTCACATCCTCTAAGGTACAGGCCCTAAGAGCTCACTCTCATGATTTTCTAGAATGAACTGTTTACCAGTAATAATACTTTGATTAAGAACAGATATTCAATTATCTATTTAACCTAATGTGTTACTCTTGCGAAAACTTCAGAAACTGCCTTTCAAATATGACTTCAGAGGAAGACTGTAGTGACAGGCCCTGAAATAAATGCATCTCTTGTCATTTTGGGCACTAGCACCATAACAACTTTGTTATGCAGGGAGTATCTGTTTTTCCACTATTGGAAATGTTTTTCTCCATCTCCCCTCAAACTTCATACTTTTTCCACTTGCTATCAGATGATAAGGATGTGCAACCTTGGTTGGGAAACAAGAGCAAATCCTCCCCCTTCCCTGCCTCCCCTGGCTGTCATCCCTCCTGCTCAGTCTCATTCCTGGACCAGAATGCCCAAGGCAGAAGCCATGCAGAGTAGAGAGAGAAGCTCAACAACATTAAGATCTGCTTGCTTTCTGAAGACCACCAGAATAAACATCTTATGAGAATAAATAACACATTTTTTTATTTTCTTTAAAATTTTATCTAAATAAGGCTATAATTTTATTGCATTAGATAAAAAACATATAATGTAAATTATATTAGTTATAATTTCATTATATCTAAGGACACACTTGCGATTATTTTCTTTATATCTAAAGATGTCATAGGGGGTTGCAAAAATCAAAAAAGAATGTTACGAAGATAATAAATTGGAAAACCTAGATAAAAAGAAATTTCTGAAAAAAATAACCTTCCAATATTTGTTATAATATAAAAATTGAATAAATTAAAACTTAAAAATTGAAATATTTCTCAAAATTTATTCCTCATTTCACAATGCCCAAACCCATGGAAATGCCAAAGAAAGATAATGTCTCATTAATATAAGGTTTTTTTTTTTAAAGAAAACATGATGCTACTGAGCTTTGTGACTGAGCTAACAAAACCAGATGTAAGCAGAAGATAAAATTTTAGCCTTAATTACATTTATAATCCTACATGCAAAACCCCTTTTGATAAAGCTAATTTCTTCCAGTGATCTATTTCATAGAAACTAAATTGTTACCTATTATGGCTAAGGATTATATATAGTTCAACACCAAATAATACATCATTTTAATTGTACCATACTAAAGGATTAAATGAGAAAAACCACATTATTATTTCAGAGATACAGAAAAAATTAAGCTCAATGTCTTTGAGGATATAAAGTTCTTAGAAAGTTAGGAATAGAAAGTATTTTCTTAAACTGAAAAGAATCATCTACCAACATAGCTGATAAAAGCATTATTCATTATAAAGGAAATTTGGAAACACAACTTTCAAGAAACAAAGTTATCCATTAGCAACAAATTATCAACACAATATTAGAGGCCTGAATAAAAAACTAAATAAAGGAAATAAATTAGATGTTAAAAGGCTAAGAAGAGAAACATTGCAAACTTGCTAATATTTCCACTGATATAATCCTATACCTGGAAATTCCAGGAAATCTCACCAGCGAAATATTAAAATTCTCCCTCCTTTCTCCTTGCCCCTCCCTCTCTCCTTATACACAGCTGTTGGTTCTGTTTCTTGGGAGAACCTTCCTTGACTAATACACTGTGAAACTAATTCTGTAATTAATTTTGAAGAATAAAGTTCCACAATAATTGAAGACAATTTGAAAGAGGAAAGGGAACATAGATAGTAAACTATCTACTTTTACATTCTAAAATTTAAAAGATTTTGAAGATACATTAATTAAAGCAGAGGTCTTTACACATTAAAAGAGAAGGCCAAAGGAAATGAAGAGAGACAGAACACAATAGACTCATATATGTGAGGGCACAAATGATGTTGATGTGGCATTATAAATTATTGAGGAAATGATAGGTAATATAGCCAATGATATTGGGACTATTTCCCACCGTGTAGAGAAAAATAAAGTCAGTATTCTCTACCATGCAATGAAAAAAGAGTAAAAGATAAAAATAGAACTATGTCCATTTCTTCATCTATAAACTGAAAATAATAGTAGCAGCTGTCCCATAGTGCCACTATGAGAATTAAATAAGTCAGTATACACAAAGCAGCCAGAACATTGGCTGCCACATAGTATGAGTCCACTGTTATCACTAGATATTCTTATGCATGCTCTCTCATTGGTGTTTTCACTGTGGTCACAGGTCTACACAATTTAAGGAACAGTTATATAAATACATACAGCTATTGCTTCCATACTTTTTTTTTATTCTTCCAATAACAAAATGAAAAATATGCAGAAAAAATTAGCATATTGAAAAAGAGACGAGAGCAAGTATTTCTTCCCATCTACGGTAGTTCAGATCCTGAGGTTCCCCAAAAGTTCATGTATTCAAGACCAAGTCTCCAGCAATGACGCTAAGGGAAGTTGGAAGGAACTTTGAAA